GATTACGTAACACACTAAGAATGTATTTGAAGTGCCAAGATACAGACTACAATTTGTACCATTCATTTTTTTAGAAATTAGTTGGGAGAAGACACTCACCCCCCCCCACCACCACCTACGCACATCACATATGAACACACACGTGTGCGCTAGTGTATACAGAAACTATATATAGTCGAAAATACCGAAATAATAACATTGAAAGAATAGCGATTATGTGCGTTTTCGTGGGTGGGCGTGGGCGTAGGCGTAGGTGGGTTGGTGTTTAAGGAGACATCATTGTTTCCGCAACTGTAATTTTCGCTCTCAATTAATTTCTTCCATGTTACTATGGTATTTATATTATGGAAAAATAATTATTATTTGTAGAGTGAAAGTGACACGTGTCTCTTAGGCGATTTGATTTTTCTTTTTTGTCAATAAGATTTGGTGACACTAATTATTGTCAATGCGTAATTACGTCACAGTGTCTTAAAAAAAATAATAACTGAGGGCGCTACACTTAAGACCTACCCTGGTAACATTAAAACTAACTATAATAAATTGAGGGATGAACTTAAATGAAAGATTCAACTAGAGTTGATTAGCACTGGGCAACATGAAGAGAATCATTGTGAATTAATGACTACTGGATTAATATTTCATCCTAATTCGACACTGGTCAACAGGATGTGCTCATGATCTCACCAGAAATCGATGACAGAACCTTTAGGTTACATCAGGTGAGCGTATTATTACTCACCCACTGGAATGGAATAAAAACTAATCACCCTTGAATTTTAATTTCTACCTATTCTGTGATACACAGTACGAATAATAATCGATGTCTTTCACAAGTATCTATGTGCCTTTTCATGACTTCTCACTAGAACTAATTAGCAAGCGACGGTTTTTGTGTGTCTGTGTGTGTGTGGGGGGGGGGGATAAATTGGCTGCAGTTTCAATTTCATACAGAATGGTGGCATATTTGCCTTTCGGGTTCGATCCTGGATGGGGTCTTCAGCGTATCTTGCTGAAGAGTCCCTAATCACGACGAAACAACCATGCTATAATTTCGGTTTTTCAAAGATTCTCTCACTGTTTGTCAGTTCATAGACAAGATTTAACTGTAATTTATTTCAAGTATTGGTTTGTAGGGATTTAGTTGATTGGTTACAGGATTTCAGCATGAGTTGACATTGCTTAGGGAGCCATTGGAAAACTTGGGAGTACCGGACAGCTGTTTCGTCCTAGTTTGGGACTCCAGTGGAAGTCGTGACCAGTAGGATGCAGCAGATCGGGCGTGAAGACAAATACTCGCCAAAGACATTGCCTAGCTGTTGTGCTATATCGTGAATTGGCAGAAGTTAGAATTCATGGACTGGTCATTGGATCGGGTACCAGTGGTTTAAGAGTCTACCAGCTCGCCTTGTAACCAGAAGTTCATGGGTTCGAACCCCACAGTGTGGGTGCGTACTGCTGGAGAGTGCCAAAGTAGGATGAAACAGCCGCCCAGTACTCCCAGTTGGTTTTCCAATGGTTCTCTAACCGATGTCAGCTCATGATGATATCTTGCAATGTATTTATTATTCAGGTGAATGATTCTTAGAGGAAGGAATACCGATTCACAGGGTATCGGTACCACAAAAGATTAGAGGATTACACGTTAGATAGTTTTGCATCGTTCACTCATTGTTACATCATTCATTCCATATGTGTTCGTGTGCTTGTTCATGTGATATGTTATCGTCTCCGGCAATGAAGATGTGATTTAAGCTGGCTTAAGCACTTGGGCTTTCGGTCACTAGGTCCTGGATTCAAAACCAACCCGCCTCCCAATCATACAACTAATTCCAGTGTCATTGAGAATTCTATTTAAGGCCTTTGACGTCCCTTCATTATACGGCAGTGTAACAGAGAGGCTTTGAGTTCTATATACGTTGTTTTCGCCATTTTTATTGCTAATCTTAGTTATTCTATGGTTCTTTATATAAATTCTGGTGGATAGTTATTTACTAGTAATACTTTCTTTCTTTGTTTGATTTCACTATTTAAATCTTGTGACTTACTAGTTGGACTCTTAGCCTGCCCGATTATATAAGACATTTAGTGTGGCATTCAAACCTACAAACTCACTCACGTAGAGACAAACTCTGTAGGTTAAAGGACCCAATCAGTTGACGCAATTAAACAAAATAATATAATTTATAAATTACCCTGCAATGACTGTGAGTTATGTAAACTGCATTAGTCATACTAGTAGGTCGGGGGTAGTCAGATTATCAGAACATAAGAATTTAGTTAAGGGAAGAATGGTTGACCCCACCTGAGAGAAGATAAGTAATTTAGAAAAAAGCTCAGCAGTTGTGCACTGCATGCATTAACACTCAATCACACAATAGAGTGGTAGGCAGAGGGTTAAGATTCTAAAAAGTAATCAATGTAGATGGAGAGCGAGGGAGACTGATTACTGAATCCTGTCTGGTTCATTGAGTCTATACCCGACTTATGCAATAGAAATGACTCAATGCAAAGACCAGAGATATGGAAGATATTATTACCATCAGTCTCTCAAATCAGAAGAGGATAATAAATAATCTTAAAATTCTATTTCAATTCAATTCATGTACATCATAACATTCTAACAAGTTACTTATTTTGACCATAAAAACACTCCTCTTATTTCCCATCTGATTGTAATTGATCAATAACACTCATATTATTATTTCTGAATGTACTATATCACATATTGATTTTTTATTCAAATGTCTAATCAGTTCCAGACATGCACACAAATGAAGCAAGAAAGTTGTGTGAGTAGTGCCTTGATATGACTATGAGTAGCAATAGTTTGTGCTGGAGACGCGGTCATCAGTTAATTTTTCTGCATAACAACACTGTGTATGACAGTTTATCAAAATAAAATCTTATCCATAATGGAGTTTAACTAAACCTATCTTACTTACTTACTTACTTACCGATTCTGGAGGGGGATGAATTAAAGTTAAGTATTTTGCATTAGAGGTGTGTGTGTGTGTGTCGGTTTCTTATAAATGGTAGCTAGGATCTAATCCCTACTATACCGTCCTATACCGAAGATATGGAAAGTGACAACAAATAATAAAAGGGAAGTTAGAGAGAGAGAGAGAAAGAGGGAAAATATGCATGAGACAAATTGTGAAGGCGTTCTTGTGGTGGTGTGATACAGACAATGTGTGTTCCAACGGAATATGATTTTTTTTAAAATAATAATAATTTGCTTTATTCCCAAACAGTACTTGCGATACAGAATGGAATTCTCAGCATTTCATTACAGTGTTGCATCCAGTTAGTAAATTAACTATAAATAAATTTCTACATAGATTAAGGGTAATCTCAGTTCATTATGACAACAACATTATTGGCATGTCGGTAGCAAAGCCAAAATTGAACAGAATGTTTCATGGTGTTAGAAAAGTAGATATGAGCATATTTACTGCCGTAAGTGGAAGAAAGAAACAAAGCAGCACATAACAGAGAAAAAAAAGAGAGAGAGGAAAGGAAAAGAAAGAAAACGTTGTACCTATAAATGATATGAGTTGGAAAGACGAGATCTGATTGTTCTACTGACTATTTAATATGTTGTAGGTATCACGCCTAATGCTCTCTTGGGTATGGTTGAGTTTTTGTACTTGCTAGTGCGAGCATATAGTTTCCTATATAGGCTTCTGGTTCTGCCTGATGAAATACAAGGAGAGAGTTGTGAATGAAGAGGGTGGTGTGAGTTAGATAGATAAAATGTATTTAGCCCACTTTTCACATGAGTGAGTCCAAGTGCCTGTCAACCAGAATATTAACAAGCTGGTTAAGTGGCACATTGCTTACCCTGCTGACAACCTTTAACATCCTGCGTAATAAGGTATAGTCTTTCCTCAGTAGCCAGCCCAGGAAAAACTAAAGCGGGGGGGGGAACAATAGAGAATAATAGGCAGAATACGGGAGTTAACGAATTGTAGGATTAAGGGTTAGGTTATTCCAGAATGTCTTAACTTCTTGATGCAGAAGGTAAGATGGAATATTTTCTTAGAAATCATCAAGATATGAGACGACAAGAAAGATCAGCAGATAGAATGACGCCAAGATATTTAATTTCCGACTTGGTCTCTATTTCAGTGCCATGAATGTTGCACACCTCGTGAGTGCTAACCACCAGTTTGTTTAGGTCAGTCAGATTTATGCCTAAAGGTGAAATTGACTGTTTGGCATTTGGAGGGGTTTAAGTTGAGACTGTTTTCCTTGGACCACTGGCTGATTTCTGATAAAAAGCCATTTAGTTTAGAGCAGTCGCTTTGACATTTGACAGGCAAAGATACAGTCAGGTCGTCAGAATATTTAACAAAATTAATGTCATTTTGAAGATTGTAGGTCATGTAGAAAGAAAGAAAGGAAGAAAAGAGAAATGTGGAGACTACAGCACCTGGGGGACACCAGCTTCAGTGAGCAAGGCAGAAGAGGATTTACCTTTGTATAGAGTGTACTGCATTCTGTGTTGAGAAGTAGGAATGCAACCAGTTGGTGACCCAGGACTCAGTTTGTGTCATAGAGAGCTTATTTAGCAGGCGATTCTCACATATTCCCACAGTTCAATATGAACGGCATTAGCAAAAGAATACTACATGTATATATTTGAGCATTATATTGCATATCGTTTAATATAAACCAAAATCAAGTGCTCTGTGACTAGTTAAAGAATATAAAACTGGGTATATATAAATTGTGGTTTGATCATTTGAAAATATACTTTGGCTTCCATGTTCTACACTTACATTAAAGCTATTATTGTTAGTATTATGATAAAATTTCCTAAATATTCAAACAATGTAGTACACAGTTTAGTTAATATTACGATCTTTGTCTCAAGCGTGGAATCTCTTCAGTGTGTTGTCGACAACTGTTATGCTATTAAGCGAACTTTATCTACATGATTCCTGTATTTATTTTCTATTTTTATATTTTGTCTTTCTTCTCCACCCCACTTCTAGGTGCCGACCAGGGTATCACATATACTTCAGGTGAAATTCACCCCGAAAACCTGCAACAATGTACAGAAGAAATACCCAACATCACCGATGATGAACAGTGTTCAAAACTCCACTCTGAAGAAAATGTTGACACTGTAAAAGGTATAAATAAGTCAACGAACTTAAAAGTCAGACAATCTGCCAGTCCATCGATCGACTTAACACATGACAATGTTAAAAGTTCAATCAATAGTACATCACATGACAGTGGATTGGGTAATTCAGGGCATATAAATATGAATCTAACAAATATGGATTCTTTCAATAAAGATACTTCTTATAGTACTGTAGTGAATCATAATAATAATACTATTTGTAGTAATAGTATGAGTAATACACAACAAGATGAATCTATTCATGAGTTGGCTTTAGATTTAACTGTCAATCGAATACCTGATCATAATTCTTTGGATAGATCTGGATCTCCTAGAGATAAAAACGAGTTGAATCAACGGGATATTAATCGAAATCAATTTTATCCCCCTCCACCACCGCCTTATCATCAACATCACCAATACCATAACTATTTCAAAGGAGTGACAAAAGATCAAATTCATGCAACAGGTACCATGGGAACAACAACAACAACAGTATCCATGACTACTGTCACTAAGTCAATTGATTCTTATACAAAAGGCGGGTCTATTGAGCCTTCGACTACTAGTACTGCTGTTATCAGCAATGATATCTGTTATGATTTACCCTTGTCATCATCATTGTATCCCTATCAACAAATGCAAACAACTTGTCCGACGAAATCAATGGATTTGTTCACAGCTGCTGCTGCCGCCTATGCAGCTGCGTCTTTAGTCCAACCATTTCGTAATGAAGACCACAAGAGAAGTATTAATTCTACGACTACAATCGGTACGAGTGGTACTCCAGCTTCACCGCTTCCGCTTACTACGCCTATGAATCATATTCCTCCAATGAATTCTTCAATGTATCCAACACATCAACTACTTAATACAAATATCAGTAGTACTGGCAATAATAATTGCAGTAATAATGATGAAATGAATCAAACATTAAGCCAATTTCCAGCCTTTCTTCAATCAGCAATACTAACAATGATGAAAAGTGCAAAATTATCACATCCAGATGACAATTATGCCTCGAAATCATTTATGTCACCGTATTCACAAACACTTTTATCGATTTTTAATCATTCAAATTATAATTGGCCACCGAAATCATCTACACCTGTGCCAGATGATTTAAGCAGTAACACAATAGGAATAATGATCACAGTAACGATAATAATAACAATAATAATAATATTTATGACAATGAGGCATTGTGTCGGTTTCAACAGTCCTATTGTCCTCTGCCGAATCTACCTCTTCCTGGAGCTTTATACAACCACAACCATCTACAACAACAACAGCAGCAACCGCAAGAACAACAAATTCATCCTTATGACCATCATCGTCACCAGTATCCACTCCAATTTGGCATGAATTCAGAAAATATCGATGAAGATTATTTGATGAATGAAGAGAATATTGATGATGAAATACCCCCGCTGGCATCATCACCAAGATCTTCATCATCATCATCGCCATTACCTCCACCGACGGTAGTACCGAATTCCAATGAAGGTGAACATAAAACGAATTCAAAAGAAAAGTCCTCCTCGACATCTCATCAACAACAGTCTAGTAGTTCTACAACACGATCATCACGTCCATCTGAAGATTATTTGGAACAGTTTATGAAAATTGATCAAACACAAAATATTCTATGGCGTCAATTGGCTGATCGATTTCAGCGTACCCTTGGACCGAATCAGTGTGGGGTTTGTAATAAAGTGTTAAGTTGTCGTAGTGCGTTGACAATGCATTATCGTGTACATACAGGTGAGTGATATTATGTATATATTTTATTATATTTATGGAATAAATTCAAAACAATCAATTTGTAGAACTAAATTCCCCAGGGAAAATTTCTCATATACCAGACTTTTCAAGTGAAACGTTGAGGTTCAAGTTCCAAGGTTTGAAGTTTCAGTAGCAGCGGTTTTGTGTATGCTTACATACTGGGGTTACCAGTCTCGTTCCCAATCTTCCTCCTTTTCCAGACTTACTACTGGCAAATAGACTAGGGGGAGGAGGATTAGAAGTGCGTCTCTGTCTTACAGGAATCGAAAGTGGTTTCTACCCATGTGTGGTTGACAAGTATCCTGTCATTGAATTGCCGATACACAATGTATCAGATTATGTATGGACAGCTTAGGTAGAAATAGGCGGAACAGGATTCGAATCCAAGACATATTAGCCCAAAGTTGAGTACTTAAGACTCCACAATGGCTTCTATGGGTAGTTTATTCATACCAATCATTTTAGTATTGGTTTCATGACAAATCGATATTATCAAGTGTTGGTTCTGTAGGGATTTGACTGGTCATAGGTTTGATTACGAGCTGGCTGACATCAGTTAGAGAACCATTGAAAAACCTTGGAATACTAGATAGCTATTTCGTCAGTCTAGTTTGGAAGTCATCAGTAGCGTGCACCCAAGTAGCGTGGTTCTAACCCAAGATCTACCTACTCGTTACAAGACAAGACATTCGGTTACTGGAACCCGATTCATTGGTCAGCCCATGAATTTTGACTACTGCTGATTAGCAATATATGTAGACCGACAACCAGCCAATGTTATAGGCGAATGACTGATCTCCACTGGCAACGATTCTCACTTGCAAAAGAGATGAAGCTGAAATAAAAGTCTACTTGAGGTTAGACGGTCAACTGATGGACTTGTCAACTTGAAAATATTTCTTTTCCGTAGTAGTAGTAGTAGTAGTAGTCAATTTTGAATAAGCAACAACCACAGGGAATTCATGTGATGGACTTGTAGAAAGATAGATTTATAGAAAGTCAACTTTGATAGGTCACTTCGTACATTTCAATAGCTGCGTCCTAAGTTCAGTATAAAAGGTGTCTAGTAAGAACATTATTTGATAGACTAATAAGAATATTTCAAGTATTGGTTTTGTTTGGATTTTGTTTGGTTGGTCGGAGGAGTTCATCATGGGCTGACATCAGTTAGAGAACCATTGGAAAACCATCTGGGAGTACTGGACAGCCGGCTGTTTCGTCCCTGTTTAGTACTCCTCTTCATCAGTACACAGTCACTCACTGGAGGTCGAACTTAGGATATTCTGGTTACAAGGCTAGCGAACTCGTAGACCATTAAGCCACTGCGACCCGATCCAATGGTCAGCCCATGAATTCTAACTTCTACCAGCCAGTTCATGCACGACATAGTGCGACCACTTCTCAGTGTCTTCTTTCATGAGTAATTGCTCTCACCTTCGACCTGTTGTACCCTACTGCTCACAGCTCCCCACTGATGTCCGCTCATGATGAAATCCTCCAACTAATAATGACATGTTCAAGTAGCAGACTAGACTACGATGAGGAGTTCTTGAAGAAGACACCAATGAGAAATGGATATTTGGAAAGGTTATATAAATAAGTATTCAAAAGATAAGAAAGGAAAAGTAATATCAGAGACTGTTTCTAAAAAGAAGATATATCTCTAAAGAAAGTTGCCTTTCAAGGGAGATAATGTTACTCGGTTGGTAAAATGATGCTTGGAGAAAGCAATTAAACGAACCAATTCTGTAGCTGATGTGTTCATAAACACTCACAACAAAGGGGGATAATGCAAGAAACAGGTAAAAACAAGATATTGATCCTCACTACATCAGAATGTGTATATCACTTTTTACATGTCTTTCTTGAAGCAAATACATATTAGGCGTATAGAAAGATGTCTTTTGGGCTGCCGTTGACAAACACTACCCTAAGTGGCTTTCTAGTACTCATGATCAAATTCCAAGGAACTCAACGACACAACACAATATATATTCAACTGTCATCATACGGTGACGTTGAGTAAAAGCTTTGTAATTATTATTAAGCAAGGTAATTTAAGGGTGTAACTGCATTCCGCAGTGAATGACGATTTTCCCATTGAAGTCCAAGCCCAGCGGAACGCAGGTACATCCAGATGACAAGTCCCAAATAGGACGAAATACGCATCCTGGATTCCTTTTGCTAGCGTATTAATTCATCATTCTACGAGAATAATCCTATTTTTTTAAATGTTAATATTGTAATACTTTGATGAATATTATTCACTCTAGTTATGATGTTAACAGATTATTATATTTGTCCATCACTTATAGATCGTGTATTTGTTCAAACTTTAAATGTGAATTTTAAACTATGACTGGTGATAATTCAAGGTATTATTGATTTCTTTGTTTCTTTCTCTTTCCCCATTTACAGAGGAACGTCCTTTTGTGTGTATTATTTGTGATAAACGATTTTCAACGAAAGGCAATTTAAAAACCCATCTAGGGGTAAGTTACTATTATTATTAATTATTTTTATTGATTTTTATTGTAATTCGACTGATAGCAGCTACCTTGGCTTAATGGTCTAACTTGCAGATCGTAATGACCAAAAGAGTTACACTGACTGAGACAAATGTGTTCTTCACTTCCTATCATGCCATGAAGGTCGTTTGAATAAACCTATGTTAATGGTCTGTTGGCTAAGTAGCAATGTTGGCGAATAGCGCTTTAACGGCAGTAAGATGTATTCCTCAAATGAACAGCAAACTACCTTTCAGCTGTTTAGATGGCGGGGTTAGAATGTCAACCCTGAAAATTGTTCACTAGTCAGCTGCCGACAATGAGGTCCTAATACAGATACAACTCCAAAAATTACTTCAGTTTTTCAATCGATTTATGAATAATTGGTTAGATTATTAGATGTCAGAAGTGGATCGATTACTAAATCTTAGATCTTAGAAGTGATTGATTATTATTGATTGATGTTTTCTCTAAATACCTCTTGATGATACCGAAAAGTGGGGGGGGAGGGAGGTAATCTCACTTGCCTAACAGGATATGAAGAAAGACGCTCATGCGCACATAGTACTCACCCATACTGAATGATGACTAGCTATAATTTACAACAGATATCAAAATGTATAAGGACTTAGAAGTGTAGGTGGTCTGGCCAGGTTATCAACTGAGAGTCTAGTAATGTCAGGTATCCATACTTTGTTACCGTCTACAACTTTCTTGTCCAGTAGAATATATATTATTAATAACATGTCCTCTTCTTTTCTTTGCCATTTCCCTCATAGCAACACCATGAGACAATCGAAGCATATCGAACCGCAGTAGCTATAGCAATGGCTACAGGTGGTACACTGCCTCGACCTCCACCAATGTCTTCATCTACAACAGTTTCACACGGGAATCCTGTCTCTTTACCATCGATTGTCACTTCGATAGCTGAGCATATCCCAGTCCCCGCCTCCACCTCCACAGCATCCTCACTGGTGTCTACCTCAGTATCATCCTCGTCATCTACAACAAACTCGTTACTATCCTCACCAAAATCCCAGTCAAATTATCCAGATTTCATGAAAATTAATCCCTTGGATACATCATCCAATATACTAAATCAGAATACATTTCCATTGTCATGGTTACCAACAGCATTAAACTCAAACTCACCTGTATTCAATTTTCAACAAAGACTAGATTCAAATGTGCTTGATCAACGAAGGATAACGCGTAAAGAAGAAGAAGAAGACGAAGTAGAAAAAGACAGTTATAACTACTACAATCCATATGCCAATATTGACCAATCAGAGCTGACTAAAATTTCCACCAATCAAATTCCAAGATGTCATAGTGATGAAAATCATCCTAATGAAGATGACGGTAATGCTGTTGATGAAGCTGATGATGATGATGATGATGATGACGTTGATGACGCTGAATCTATATTATCAGATATAAGACCAAATTATCGAATGAATGAGCAATCTCCAGGACCACTTAACTATGGACGTGAGACACCAGCTTTGTTAATAAATGGTGTCAACACATCATCACCGCCTTCAACAAGTCTGTCTGCAACATTCACTTCACAGCCTACTCATATCTCATCTTCTGCTATTAAAAAAGATTTATTCCTTGAATATACATCATCAAATAAATTTTTATCCGTTGCTAACTGTCTGTAAATTCCACCCAGCGACATACCCCCATTCACTCACTCCCTACCTACCTACCTCCCCTCTGTTATTTTTCTTTCATTGAAGAGGGTTTTGTCTTCGTTATTTGTTTCCGTCAGTTCTTTTTTCTCTATATTCTTTCGCTTGTCTCATATATCATATCTACATAATATATGCTATTTGTAAGTGTGTCAGTCTGCACAATATTCCCCTATCGCCGCCTATTTCCCCCGGCCGTCATGCGCTTCTAATTGTCCAAATATAAAAGGAAGTCAACATCACCATTACACACATGCACACACACACACATACAAACAGAGATAAATCTTATTCACCTGTAATAAAATAAATATTCTTAATATGTATACACAATGGTAATGACAATTTATTGTTTGAATTTTTCCATTCAGTCATTCATTCATTCGTTCGTTCCTTCATTCATTTATCAATTTACCCGCCAAAACAAAAACTTGATCATTTAAAAAAAAAGTGTGTAGAGATATTGAATGTGAAAAAAGAGTTCTTCATGCATACACTAGCTATATATTAATTACTAATAAATACATAAATATTCAATTTTCAATTGAAGATAAAAATAAATTCCTTTTCTCTCTCTCTCATTTTTATTCATATTAAATTATGTTTATATATACATATTTGCATATTATATACATAAACATATAGAAAATCTATGTATGCGCATTATTCTATCTTTAATATTATTATTATTATTATAGTAGAATATATACAAGCTGAGAAATCGAGAATTTATTTTGAATTTGGCGGTCAATTTTAAACGGATAGGAGACTTGGTGTAACACCAGGGTGGATGACTTCCACGCTTTGTTTACTCCGGTGAATAATAAATAAATAGTTTATCCTACTAGCTATGCTGTCTACTTCACTATCTCACTAATTAGCTGGGCTTAATTCTGATTGGATAACTGGTGTGATAACCTTGGGCGGCGGGAAGTAATTTATCCTTTGAGATGTTCGACATCTATTGACATGTCGAATTCTAGTATGGACACTTGGACGATGTCAAAGGATTAAGGTGTAATTGTTTCGATTGTTCTCTTGGGTTCCGAGTGGAAGATACGGGTTCTATCTTGCCCTCTTCTCTGTGGTCCTCTTTACCTGACTGGCCGCACAGTCTGTGATCTCCTCCCCTCAGGATCTCCTCCATGTCACGCTCGAACTGACTTCCCATTCGTCGCTGTGTTATTCGAAGGTCTCCTCAACGTATCTGATCCATCCCTATTTTCTTCGGATTATTTGCTGAGCAATAGGCATTTAGTTACAGAAGCCTAGCACTTCCTTGCTCGTGGCTGTCGCTCGAGTGGCTGAGATAGATTAATGACCCACCAGTTGACATTTTTGACAGCCCACATCCATTCCATCTACGCTCGCAGATAACCAGGACTTCTTTGCCATATCTTCCCATTTCTTTGGTTGCCTGGGTAGCCTTCCCAGTCTCTTACATTGCACGAACATTACACGTCCCGATACTTATGTTTGCTTTCATCAAGAGAAGATACATCAGCTGGCTGATTGGCTTCCCAAAGGCTTTCATCAGCTCACTTCATTCTGTTTGTCGATTCCAGAGGAAAATAGGTTCGTTTTTTAAATTTGTAATATTTTTCTTGTGCATTGGAGTTTCTGTAGCAGTTTGATTGATTTTCCGAGGTAGGATTGCTAACAACCACGCCCAACCCCTCGACTTTTCCTGGGGCTTGTGACCGGTTAAAACACTAGCGAACTAATAAACTAGGCGAGGTTGGTTTTGTTGTGACTACCTATGTAGTCTGAAATGCTCATTTCATACGCTCCTGGGACTTGTCAACTGAATGCACCTGCGTTCCAAATGGTTGATGATGGTGTTGCTAATGAGACTCGAACGCTGTATCCATGGATGAATTATCCACAATGGGAGCTGCGATAAGTCAACAGAAACCAGGGATTTCGGTAAAAAGAAATCAAATTACCCCAAAAACAAATAATGTATGGACAGCTGTTGCATAATAGGCGACTGTCGTAGCCTTCGTGGCATAGTGGACAGTAATTTGACATTTGAAACGATGGGAGAGAGGTTTGAGATTCATTGGGAACATCATTACCAACTGAAGAGCATGTATATCCGCCCAATGAGTCCCAAATAGGATGAAATGCACGTTCTAGATTCCACTGCTAATCACTTCTAACCGAAATGACTTATCATTCATTCAATCAAATTAAAACAGGTTATAGTGCTCCATTTAAGTTTTCGTCCTTGTTAGTACTCATCAGCGGAACATATATGTTACCTTATGTTATCCTTATATATATATATATATATATATATAGAGAGAGAGAGAGAGAGAATATTCTAGAATAATAGTCATTAACAATATTGGTGTTTTTTAAATAATATGGTTCTGTTAAATAAGATCAGTGGAATTACAGTGCAAGAAAGATGCATAAATTATAACAAGCATAAAAATGTAATAGTAAATAGAATGAATATCAAATAAAATATTAAGGAAATCTCTACAGTAACAAATTGAGGATCATTAAAACTTTGATTGACGGCCAAGGTAAGGAAAGCGTCTGGACCAACATCTTCCAACAGCCAGCCTCAGCAATATGTAGTAGACGAACTATTGAGGTAGAATTAAGATTAGTTAGTCTGTGGTAGATGACTTTGAAAGCCTTGTTTACATGAATTTTGTGTTCTATATCTACGAGACGGGATGGAATAGAGCTATGAATGAACTGTGTTTGTCCCTTAATCAACCACTATGCGGAGATGGTGTTCGGAAATCCGACGATAAACACGCCTAATTGTACGGCCTAGGCAGTTAGCTAGCTCCACAGGAGCAGTCAAATTGGTACATACACACATAGAATAAGCTAAATTAAGTAGATTATCTTGAAGTTCCGAACGCAAAATACGGGTGGTTTTCAAGACACAGCATACTTCAATAGCATTAAATGCTCTATTTTTTTTTACCACATTCTTTAGGCGTGATGTTAACATCTCACTGGTGTTATCCCCGAGGAATTAAAGTTCATCTCATCTTTTCGATACAGAAGACTAGATTGATGTCAACGAGGCGGCTTTCAAAGTCATTTATCGAATACCAACAAATCTTAACTTCGCCTTAAGAGTTCGTCTACTACATATTGCTTAGGCTGGCTGTTGGGATCCACATTAACAAGCCTAATTCATGTGTCCAAAAGAAGCTAGTTCAGACGCTTTCCTTACCTTGGCCATCTAGGCTCGATTGATCCTCAACTTTTTGTAGAAATTTCCTTAGTTTTATTTGATATTCTGTTTTCTATTATATCGTTATTATTATTATTATTATTTAAGCGTCTTTAATGAACTGTAATTCCATTATGATCTTACTTAACAATTCGATATTATTTAAAAAACACACTAATATTATTATTGACTACTATTCTAGAATATTCTATGTATATAAACATACAGATATATTTTTTATTTTTTTTTTGGTTACAGCTTGATTCCACACCGTATTTTTGGTACAAGTGTGGAATTTTCAGCGTGGATATCGGTAGCCCAAAATTCGCAGGCCAACCATAGATATCAGGTGTGCGTCGGCGTGGGCTCGAATCCCGGACCATGTGCATGGTAGACGAGAGTCCTAACCACTGTGCCACCGACGCACAATTGTAGAGCCAGAAGAGGAGGAAATTATCGAAAAGGGAATATTCTTTGCTCAATTTTTTTTGTGTTTTTTCTAAATACCTGAATGAATATTTTCGCCATATTGAAATTTCAAGAATGCTACATTGTCAAGGAACTTAACCCTAAGTTCCTACTATTTGCGAAAACGCTCCGAATCGATAATTCCTATGTATGTTTCTCGACTTTAACTCAAAAATCTTCAGTACTCGTTTGAAAGTTATATTGTTTGACAATTAAAATCAAAGTAGTTACAAATCTATAAACAAATGTTTTATACAAAATATAATAAATAAATAATTTTTCTTTCATGTTCCACAGTCGAACATAGGGCTTCAAGCTAGTGGCTTAAAGTTTCTGTAGCAGTGTTTATTTTACAGGATGGGGTTGCTAGCCTCATGCCCAACCTTTCCTCTTTACTAGCATTATTTTGGGCTTGGTGAGGTAAAGGAGTGAGTCACTGGCAGAGGATCGAACCCCGGACCATGTGAATGGTCGGTGAGTGTCGTAACCGCTGTGCCACCGATGCACGATACAAAATATAATGTACTTTTATTTGTATTCTTTCGTCTTCTTCCAACTTGTACACAATTGAACCATTCGCGCCTTCAAGTTGCCCACCAATGGCTACCAGTTCCAATAAACAAACGTTCAATGTTCGCGTCTATTGACATACATCTATGGTAAAAACAAAATTACTCACATTATCTGGAGAGATTAAAAACACCAAAATTGAGATGGATCAATCCCCTCGGTTCAGATATATGATTTTCAATAGTTGGTTTGTAAGGATTAGTTTTTGTTTTTGTTTTTTACGAGTTGATCACAGATTGTTATCAGTTAAAGAATCGTTGAAAACCAGTCACAGAAAGTACTGGACAGGTTGCATACTGCTGATGGATTCTCATACTAGGATGAAACAGCTGTCCAGTACTCCAGTGCTGGTTTTTTCAATGGTTCTATAACTGATCCGAGATACAAGGGTGTCAACAGGGTAGCTGTCATCATCACTCACTAATCTAGCTGAAGATTATGCACTAGCTTTGGAAGCAACAGGCACTAGGTTCGAGTCCCAACAGAAACACCACCAATACACGAATTCATAAAAAACCAAACATCTTCCAGTTTATTTTATTCCTATTTTTTAATTATTTTAAAACTAATGTGTTTCATTTAAAAACGATAAGGGAAAATACACCAAAAAATCTCGTATGTTTTGTTTTTTGTTTCGAAGAAAAAGAGGCGTGGGGAGGGGAAATATCTCCTTATTATAAATGAATTATAAAATAAGAGAATCTTTCTCACCACCTCCCACCCACCT